TCTTTCTTTCTTTCTTTCTTTCTTTCTTTCTTTCTTTCTTTCTTTCTCAGGGCTTTTCTGTGTAGCCCTAGCTGTCCTGGAACTCACTTTGTCAACCAGGCAGGCCTCACACTCAGAGAAGCACTGTTTCTGATACTTGGAATGTATGTTTATGAGCTGAAGTGTTAAACACACAGGGACTCATCTGTGAAGGACTGAACTAAATTTTACAGCCTCAAGAACAAGATGGGCTACATCAATTGTGCCCATAACAGAATGCATGTTGTGGATATAACAGAATACATGCAGCCTGTGGCCTATGTCTAGAGAATAATGTTAATGACCAAGAAGAATATTCATGAGATATTATTATCTATAAAACATGTCACAATGCCTGTGGTATTTTTCTTAATGCTAACAATAGCCATCTTGGAAAGGGATGTTATGGAAGAGTATTTCCTTTGTTTAATTTTATCTTTATTTTGTAAGTTTTCTGTAAGAAACACACTATGAATTTTTAAAGGAAAAACAACTTGTTACAGATTACAGGGCTAGCTGCCAACAAACAGGATGAGAAAGGCCCGAGTTCCCACTGGCCATCAGAGGACAAAGTGCCACCCAGGTGCTCTCGGGAGCAGGCAGCTGGTGGGCTGTGGGTTCCACCATAGACACCTGACTGGAGAAAGATGCCGCCCTGCGCTGCTCACCCTCTGCAGCCTGCCTGGCCAGGTTTGAGATGGAATCAAGTCCCCCACTTACAGGTCCCTTTTCCTGTGCCTCGGGCGCTTCTCGACACTTTCAGGAAGCCTAGCGGAAGAAGGGAGAAGGCAGAGACTAGCAGAGCACTATCTCATGCCCATAGCCTCAAGACCCAGCAACTGTCTCATTACTCAAATAACACACAGCCTCATCCGGGTGAGGTCTTTCTGTCCAGGGCGGGCCCTGTCTTCACCTCCCAACCTATCTGCACACTTAGCCTCTGTCCTGGCACTCCCTTCACAGGGTCTGTCCCATGGGCCCGGCTTTAACTCTTTCTCCAAAGCCTGATCCAGTCTTTGTTCATCTTAGCAGATGCATCTACCTTTCACCCCCAGCCCCTGTACAATCACTTTAACCATTTCCCAGTCCCCTTTAGAGCCTAAGTTTTTTGGGCACCTTTTCTTTTTTGCCTCCCTTGTGCCAGTACTCCCTGTTTAAATGTTGTTTTTTTTTCTTGCCCCCCATCTTGTATTCCCCCTGATTGATCCCAATGCATTTCCAAAGAGGTTAGTAAGTTTGTCTTCCTCAGCCTCTGCTCCGTTTTATTTGTTGTCGGAGATTTCTGATGATCTGAACAAAGTGAATAAAAAGAGTTATTTTATTGTTATAAATGTAAACAATTCACAGGTTTCTATAGGCAGGCAGTGTTGCCTCAGATGGTTCTCTTCTGCTGCTCTTCTATAACTGACATGGAAGGTGTCCTGTCCCACTGCCTGGCTGATGCAATGGCTTCTGTGCACAGGTGGCTGCTCTTGCAAATGGTTCTTACAGTATGGCCCTCATTACATTATTGTTACCCGATATACACCCAGTTACAAGCACCTTGCATAGGGCCTGATGCATCAATATGCTTGAAATAGTAGAATGAATGAGTTGGAGTGGCTCATCAGCAACTCTGCCATTTATGGGGTAAGTTAAGGCCCAGGCTCCACATTTGCACTGTCAGTGTGATTTACGAGATCTCTGATGATGTGTTTTGAATGGCAGTGTTTCAGGTATGAGATGGGTGGGTATGCAGAGGGAGACTACATTATATTTCTACCTACTAACAAGTGCACATCTTCCCATCGCTTATTTTTTCTTAGTGCCCCAAGGCACAATGGTTACCATAGCAGCCAGGTGCTGATGATGCCTCCAGGGGGCAGCAAGGTGAAATTGAGCCAGCTCCCAAGTCCCCACTTCTCCATGATCTTGCAGGCCAAGGTGAGATGGTCTGAAGTTTAGCCTTTTGTCAGGGCCCCCAACCTGTCTTGGATCGTTTAGACTCATAAACCTTGCTTCTGTAGAGTGCAATCAGGGCTCTGAGATACCTTTTCAGAGACTCCTTCCTCTCCAAGTTGTGTCTCCTGGCACCCTGCCTGGTTGCCTTGGAAACAGGTTCCACTGAGGACAAAGGAGGGAGCTGGGTCCTGCTTCCTCCTGGTCCTGCTGATGAGGATTTTTAGACCGTGGAGACTGCGCTGCCCTGCCCTACACTTGCCCTCATTTCCCACGTTCTCTCTGAATTGGAGTTTGCCCTCTCTCGACACTGACGAGGACATGTGTAAGAGCGTGACCACAGGTGAGTGGAAGAAAGTCTTCTATGAGAAGATGGAGGAAGCAAAGCCAGCTGACAGCTGGGATTTCATCATAGACCCCAACCTCAAGCACAATGTGTTGGCCCCTGGCTGGAAGCAGTACTTGGAACTTCATGCCTCAGGCAGGTGAGTAGCCCAAAGTGAAGGTGCCTGCAGGCAGCCTCTGGGGACGCACCTAGTCCTGGGGTACCTTCTCAGGAGAGAGAACACACAGAACCCGTGCTTACTTCAGCCTCACGGTTAGGCCAGTGTAAACTAGAAGACAGGTAGTCCCTCCAAGGGGGCTGCGACACTCAGTTTGAGTCCGGCTTTTCTGCTGATTGCAGGAGAACTTTTCTTCTTGTGGCTTCTTCATTTGGCAAAAAAGAGGTAGAATATGATTATTAGTTTCTGACTCTGACAGTTTACGTGGTTTCAGAGTTTAAGAATGTGTTTAAAAGTAGCTGTAAACTGGGAGAAGAGAGGCTTGGGGTCACTGGATCTGGGCTCCTGTATTGGAGAAGTTCAGTTTTTCATCTCGTTAATTCAGCCTGATTTGATTTAAACCATTGAACACAAGAGGCATGCTTGAAACTGGCTCTGCTGTTGACCCTATGACTCCTGAGCAGTCCACTTTCCTCTCTGGACCATGCTTTCCCCGTTTGGTGAATGAAGGGTTAGCCGGCCAATCTTTGCCTTGTGCTCCAGGGATGGAAGACTAGCAACGATCACCTAAAATTCATTAGTGCTGCAGAATATAGGGCCCCTTCCAGACTCAGAGAAGCACCCACATTTTGGAAGGCTCCCAGGTGATTCGTAGGTACAAACAGAGCTGAGAAAAACTAGCATTCAATCCCTGGGTCCAGTTCAGGGGTCTAGGTTAAGACTTACTTTTGGGATTTGGTCTGGGTCAGAAGTGAAGGCCTTCCTGCTTAGCTTGGCTCGGTCGACTCACTTCTATTCCATTCATTTCAGCCAGCATTTCAGGATGCTAGTTCTGCCTCTCACTAGCTGTGTACGTGGGTGGCTTTTTTTTTTTTTTTTTTTTACTGTGTCTTGAAACAGAATGAACGGTGAATGTCTAGGTGATTTCTGTGGCCCTCCGGTTCTGAAATTTTAAAATCCAAGTGTGGTCTGAGTGAGGGAAATAGTTGCTAAAGATATGAATAAACAAAAAGACTAGAATGAAAATGTGGCGCTCCTCCATC